GGCCCGGAAGTAGGATTTGTCACGTCATCACTTAACGACCGGATTAGAACCCTACACAAAGAATAATCATGACTTAAAAGGGATTCAGGGGTTTACTGTCAGCTTTTTCTGTCCTACATCAACCAGGGATTGCACATACCCTATCAAGTTTTTTTTTCTTTGAATATATTTCTAGTGTCACACTCCATTTCAGACTCCATTTTTCTCATTCATTTCTCTGAGCGTGATGGCTGACAATGATGTCACTGCCTCCAGCTCAACATTTGAATTCACTGAGGTTGATGATTCCTGTCTTACACCAAAGGGGGTGGGGATATTTTCCCAACAAAGTTGCATCAATAAAATGTTTGGAAGCTTCTAAATGTGCTAGTGCAGACAACCTTTCCCTTTCCCTCTAAAACACAGATGCCTCATACTAAGGTCCAATCTGGGGAAGCAGCACCTGTTAAATGATTTATTGTTAATGTTGTGAAACTGTTGCACATGATTACATTTTACCGCTGTTATGTGGTGAAGGATGCAAAGCAAAGCCAGTCCATGCAGACTGTTCTCTGATAAAGACAGAGGCCAAATTAATGAACAGGGTTCCTAAATATAACTTTGTACTAACAAATGATTTGCTGGATGAAATATTAGTCTGCAGATTTTTGTAGCGATGAAAGGTTAAAAAAATCTGACATTCCAATCGTGATATTGGGCGTGCAGGTTAAAGCTGTGTCACATGTAAAGAAACATATGATATGTTGTATGTGTGTTTGGGATTGATTTTCAAGTAAATGACCAAATTCCTAGGGATGCAAATGCTGACATCTGACAGATACACACATTTCTGGCAATAATGAAAAAGCTCTCTTACAACTAATGTGCCATGTATGGAAGATCACCTTTGTTACATTTTCACCATACAAGGTCAATGATGTATAGGGGACAAATTTAATTTTTTTTTGCTGCCTAAATTAAACCAAGTACTTGTTGCTGACTAAAGCACACGGAGCAGGGAGAGAAAACAGAACACAAGCAGTATTTGACATGATGGGATGGAAACACATATTAAATAAATATTGACTTTTTAAAAAGAAGTTTAAGGTTCCTTTTCTTTCTTTTTCGCCTCTCTTAGCTATTTTGCTGTTTTTGTTGTCATTTTTCTGCTTATTTTGTGTCTTTTTGCAGTCATTTTTGTCTCATTTTTTATTATATATCTCTTTGTGGTCGGTTCCCTTCTCTTTAAAGTTTGTCTTTGATGTCTCGTGAGTCTGCAGATATTTTTTGCCACCATTTTAACCCTCTCAGGCTCAAATTAAACTTTTTGTTGCTAATGCACAACCAAGTCCTGCAGTGGTACTTCTGAGTAAAACAAACTCATAAAATATGTATGTGGAGTAATCAGGTTGTTAGTTTTTAACTGTTGCAAATCGGCAACGCCTGCCTTGAGAGGGTTAAGTCATATTACATATTTGTGTCTCCTTCAAAGAATTAGTTTGTGTCTTTATGATGTTGTTTTTTTGCCACTTTTTAGTCTTTTCTATTGCTTTTTAGTCATTTTATGTCACCTAGAAGTTATTTTGTGTTACTTTGCAGTACATTTTTGTCCCTGTGTAGACATTTTATGTCTTTTTGAAGTGTTTTTGTGTCACTTTTTAGTCTTTTGCCACTATACATTGGACGTTGGATAGACATGCAGATCTGATCTATATTGGGTCCATTGGTCCATAGCCAAACTAAGCCGTCACTAGCCGTCCAAACTAAGTCCACAATTTGGGCGTCCAGCCATGACCCACTTTGGCCATCAATGTTTGAACTTTGGACTGAGGACATCTATAACAGGTACAGGAAATTTATATGATTAATAAATCTAAGGGTGTCCATACATCCTTCATCTACTGATCAGAAGGTTTGTGGTTCGAACCCTGGCTCCCCCAGTCTGCATCCCAAATATCCTTGGGCTTTTTACACAACATCACTCTTTCCAAATCAGGCCAAAGAGGTGGTACTCGTGAAGTAGTAAGATTTTAATGTTAATTTACATGTTTTCTCACCTTTGATAAATATGCCCAAATCTAATTTGGAAAGTGTTACCACTTCATTACATGTTATGAGGTCAGAAAAAAAGGGGACAAAATAGACCTGATTTTGCTACTATTAAAACCATGCAAAACAAAGTTAATGTCACCAAAATGCAAGCATTAAATCATGCGTCACCGAACCTAAACACCTATTGGAATGTAAATTTGAACAGCAGATTACCCCACAAGTAGATGACGACGATCTAAACGCTCCATTTGGTCTGAAATTAGCCAGTCACAGCTCTGGAATCTGACCCCAGCAGCTAATCACAGCTCTGACACGTCTCAGCTTTGAAATGCGACTGTAGAGACCTGTTATTTCATGGTCGAATGGTAATTGTACGCCGGCCTGCGTGGGCGGATCAGAGCTGAATTACAAAGCTGTATAAGGCACGCTGATCAGTGCCAGGTCGCTGCATTGTTTTCTTAGTCAGAGAAAACTCTCCAGCACACAGCAGCAGCAATAGTGACAGGTGAGGACAGAGAGTTTCTGGAGAATGACTCACCCCCCTATCATGACTTTTACAGGGTGACGCCTTCAGCGAAAGAATTTGCATTTTGCATCTTTACCTCTTTTTTTTTTCTTTCTTTGTCCTTGTACCAATTGTTTTGTGATTTCACCTACACATTTTCTTCTCTGCATCATTAACACTGAGCTTGTGGAATGT